TCCTTCCTTCCTTCCTTCCTTCCTTCCTTCCTTCCTTCCTTCCTTCCCTCCCTCCCTCCCTTCCTTCTTTCTATCCTGCCTTCCTGTTTTCCTGCCTTCCTGCCTCCCTGCCTTCCTGCCTTCCTTCCACAGGTGAAGTGAAATTATAGTTATCCATTCATAAATGACAGATGGAAAGGTATCATGGTCATTTGTCTCTGGTGAGGATATTTGGGGCTTGTTTCAAACGGAAGAATACATTGAGCTTCTTTTCAGAGAAAGGCTTTCAAATACAATATCTGGGTGTCAAGAGAATGACTTTGATTCCCCCTGACCACCCCAACATTCATTTGATCCAAACCTAGTCCTTAAATTTATCATTATGTTCTAAAATCTGGAATTCCTTTGGGGTACCCATATGCTTTAAGGAGCTAAAGAAGTGTCAGTTTGCTACAGGATCAGACAAGCATGAATCCAAGATGCACAGGGTCACATCACTACTATTCAGGGACTTCACAATGTACATGTCTTGTTAGAACAACAGACAGACAGGTGAACAGACAGACAAACAGAAGGCAAGCGCAGAAGGCCAAAGTCACAGTAACTGCCATTTGGTTTGTCTAAAAATGAGTCACAAACACCCAGAAACCATCTCCCTCTTTGGAGAGAAGGTCGCTTTATTTCTATACTGTGGTTAGTGTGATATGATTTTAGTATCCTCTAAGTCAATAAAAGACAAGTTTAAGAAAGCAGATTTGGCTTAGCAAAGCAGTAAGGAATTGTCTTTAGGCATCTTCTGCATAAATTGAAAAACTGAAGAATTTGCAAGTTACCATGTCTCTTTTCATTTTTGTTTTGTAAGTTGATTTTCCCCCCTTCAAGTTCTAGATGGCAAACAGGAGTAGTTCACATGGTGAAAGACCACCCCCTTTTCCATGCCCTTCTGTACAGGCATTTTAGTACATTATAATGCAAATTGGAACACAAAAGTGTGAGTTCTAAAACTTCTAAACAAAATGGATTTTTAGGATTGTCTACATTGCAGATACAGCATTGAGGGTTTTTTCTAATATTTCATTCAAAATTTGCTCATGGATAAGTCTACCCCATTTTTGTTTAAAAAAAATGCACAATTCAGCACTGATGTTTTGGGAAATGAACTATAGGAAGAGGATTCTAAAACTTACCACACAAGTCTGGCCTCTTGATACATCCAGAATTTGCTGTGCTACTTGCAAGTCCATTAAAGGCTGCTAAGCCATCAGAGCTGTAGGCCCTGAGGACCGACAGCATGTTCATCGGCTTGTCCAGGCTCTGCGGTCCCCGCTCCGGCTTTGGCAGGCTCGCCAAGGGGTCCTGGGCTTGGAGAAGACCCTGGCTGTGCCACTGCTTCTCCGGTGCTTGGGATAAAGGTGAGACCAGTCCTTGGACGGGCTGGGGGGCGCCTGTGGGCTGCAGGCTGTCCCCGCCATCACTGCTGCTGTCTTTGCTGAGGGCAGACAGGGGCTTGGTCATCATTTCCGGTTCAGTTTCAACATCCTCTTCATCGTTGTTCTCTCCCTTGGAGGAGTCCATGTCCTCTGAGGAGGCGATGTCGGAGAGGTCATCAGTAGTGTTCTTACTCGTGGTTTCGGGGATCAGGATGGGGGCATCCTCTTCAGAGTGGGCCTTTCCATCAGGCTCCTTGTTGGGGCAGGAACTGGAGGCCCCCGAGCCAACCATGCCTGGGTAAACACCAAACTGCTTGTAGAAGTCGGATGGGAAGTTACAAAATGCAGGGTCCACGTGGCTGGTCCATGTGCCGCTCTTCTGCTCCCCCAGAGTCTCCTTGACCTGACCTTGGGCCATCTTCTCAGAAGCAGAGTCTAGAGAGCCAATCATACTGGAGAGGCCCACGTCTTTGTTTGATTGTACTGAGGGCAGCAGGGCCATCTTACTCGCCTCCCGGGCTTGGTCTTTGCAGTTGACTGTGACCCCGATAGTGTTATCTTTGCGTTTCGCTTTGCCCAGGTGGTTGGCCTGGAGATGAAGGGCCATGAGCTCCATGGAGGACGTTGTGAAAGCACAAAACAAGCAGCCGTGCCACGCGATGCTGTCCTGCACAGTTACCGAGGAGCCCGGGAGGGAGGCGGCATCTGGCCGCACAGACAAGTCTAGGGGTTCATACTGAGATTTCTCAGACTTCCTCTGGGAGGACTTGCCACTGGGTTTCTCCTCGCCACCATCCACTCCGTGGACTTTCATGGAAGGGGGGTCAGCCAGGGCTTTGTCCTTCACGTCCTTCTCCTTCTTCAAGGAACTGAGGACAAAGCTGTCCATGAAAGCTTGCAAGGACCCTTGGAAATTCACACCGTTGCTCACGATGCTTTGATAAGCTCTTCCGATCTCGGAGAAGTGGGTGCTTTTGGCAGGAAGGTCAGCGCCTTTCAGAGCATCTGAGGGGATCTCTGAAGACATGCCGGTGGCCTGCCCCGAGTGATCTCCCGACGAGAGCACCCCTGATGTCCACTGCTGAGATGCAGGGCCTCCTCTGAAGTCGATTCCAGGGAGACCCTTGAAGGCGCCCCTCAGGATGTCTGGCCTGATGAACAGAGAAGCTTTGCTTGACATCTCATCCTTGTGGTCCTGATTCGGGGGCTGCCCAGACAGCGGCCCAGCCCCATTCTGCCGCTCCCGGTGGTGTCGCTCTAAGTGGTATTTTAAGGACGCTGACTGCGTGCCGGCATAGTCACAGTGCGGACACTTGTAGGGTTTCTCACCTGCAAGAATTTGATATAAGAAAAAAAAGAGGCGTTTATCTCATTTTGGTGTGCTGAACGAGGCTGGAAGGATCAACATTTGTTCTTTGAAACAAAGCAGCTCAAACTAATAATTAGAGAACAACTGTTTTTTAATAGAAGAATAATTCGTACTCTTAAGCTTTTTTAATGATTTTGTACCATTTGGGACTATTCAGGAATGACATACTATCTACACACAATTAGCTATCTTTTTCTTTATCTAACATGTGAAAACGGCTGTAGATTTAAAAGCTATGATTATGAAAATTAAGCATAATAATTTCAGCCACAGTGATCATTAAAAGTAGAAGTTTAAAAAGAGAAAGTATGTAACAAATGGGTGGTTGCAATATTTTGTGTATACAATAGCTCTAAAATTTGTTTAAATTATACACATGGAAACCATTTTTAAACCTAAAAATTTTATGGCACTGTTACGCAAGACTGAAATGAATGATTTAAGTCTTGCTCTGCAGTAAATCATGGATATAATTAGCAAATGGCATACTGCACAAGTAATTTATCATTATTTGGAGGGCACCATTCCAGACGGGCTCAGATATCTGCAGACCTACTGCACTGTTTCTAAATAAAGAACTATAAATACAGATTCTATAAAATATTAATACCATTACAGTGCATTATGATTGCAGCATGTAAAGACATATAGTTAAGATAAAAAGCAGTCAATAAAACTTAAAAGAAAATGAGTAATAAAAAGGCACAAAATATATTTAGTTTCTGTATTTGAAATTAACATTATCTACTGGTCTTTGTAGTGCCTTAAATTTGTACTAATGGCAAACCTAATGCTCCGGTAGTAAAATGTGTAATTTACCTATAAGCGCTTTCTAGAGAATAAAAATAGCTTTAAAGAGTGTTTTAAAACATATAAGATAATTTTCATGAATTAAATATTTATTTAAATTCAACACCCCCAACTTCTATTGTTCTTTCCACAATGTGGAAAGATACCAGAAGAGACAACTTACATTTGCTGGCATTGAGGGATAGAGAAGGGAAAGAAGGTAAACGACTGCAGATTTAAATATATTTCAAGAATTTGTTAGCAATCCCAGGGCTTTTCTAGACTTTGCAATCAAAAGGCTCTCTGGAAGGAATGGGGACTGTGACAGTCCCCACTCTCTCATTCACAATGGTGCCCTGTTGATATCCACAATTATTTCTTCTAGGAGCCTCAACTATTCCCCCTCCTCTTCCTCTGTTCTATTATAAAATAGACTGATCTAAAAAGTAACAGCAAATCATCAGTGAATGGTGTCTTCTGAAGACATTTCACTGTGTCTAGTCTCAGCAGAAGGCATGAGTCCCAGTCCTCCAGGCACAGGGCATTTGGGGGCATGGACTTTGTGAGCAAGAGGGCCACCACACTGGCTCTGAGCAGGAGATGACACGTCATGTCTGAGCAGGAGATGCCAGAGCCATGGACACCCTGCCTGCCTTCTCAGAACAAGGGTGTCAGGTGCTATGAGCCACTGAGATCTCTCCTGGACACTTTCAGAGGTGGCCCTTAAGTCTAGGAAGGGAACCCAGCAGCGAATCCATTTCTCTAAACATAAAGGTCACAGTCATCTCTAACTAGACCAATGACATGGATCTAGGAGGAAGTCTCTATCCCTTTTGGGGTAAAGGTCCAGAGAATTTCAGGCAGTATTTTCCCACTTCTTGGAGTCAGTCCCGGGTTAGACTCAGACTCACTGAGCTACTGCTTTTTAGACATCGCATCGCAGGCCAGGCTGGGATGGGGCACTTCTGGGCAGCAGGATGTCACAGCTGATTCAGCTTACCTGGAAGCCCAGTGATCAGGTGTGACAGAGGCAGTACCTGGAACTTAGAGGGGTTGTGATGGGACCTGCAGCAGGCAGGCCTACCTAGAAACTCAGGATCCTGGGCTACGGGTGAGAGCAAACCCTGCGGGAGGGCCGGGCGATGAAAGCCTGCAGAGGTGAGGCCCGCAGGTGCCGGGTGGGACTCAGGCTGTGTTTAGAAATGCACCTGGAAATGATTACGTGCATCTGGCAGGCAAAGGGGCCGTAGAGAAAACACGGGCATTCATTAGCAGGAGTTAAAGATGGGGAATGTGGACTTTCCTCTCAAGCCTGGGGATGTGGAGAGCTGCCTTTCTGGGTGGGGATGCACAGAGGATGTGCATGTCTATTTCCAACTGATACAGGTTTGAAAGGCACATGGGAGACTGAGCGTGGTGGCTCACACCTGCAATCCCAGCACTTTGGGAGGCCGAGGCAGACAGATCACGAGGTCAGGAGATCCAGACCATCCTGGCTAACATGGTGAAACCCCATCTCTACTAAAAATACAAAAAATTAGCTGGGTGTGGTGGCGGGCGCCTGTAGTCCCAGCTGCTCAGGAGGCTGAGGCAGGAGAATGGCATAAACCCGGGAGGCGGAGCTTGCAGTGAGCCGAGATCGCACCACTGCACTCCAGTCTGGGAGACAGAGCGAGACTCCATCTCCAAAAAAAAAAGAAGAAGGAATACAGGAGCGGTAGTACTCAAACTGTATTGTGCATGTATTGTGCATTAGAACCACCAGGGGAGTGTGCTAAGACACCAGTTCTGGCCCTAAGGCATAGTGGTTCTGATTCCCTGGGTCTGGGGTGGGGGCAGAAGTTGAAGTTGGCCTTCTAAGTGTCCCTGATGATTCTGATGCAGACAGTGTAAAGACAACCCCTTGAAAAACCAACCTGGAATTGCCTTGGGGTCTTGACAAAGTGCTGATACCTGGTCCCTCCTCCCCACATTCTGAGTTAATTGGCCAAAGATGCAAACTTGGTTTTAGGATCTTTCGGGACTTTCCCAGGTGGCCCTCTGTGGAGCCTGAGTGGGGAACCATTGTAGGCAGCCTTCCTCGGAAGTGCCTTTGAAGTGGGAACCATGAATGGTTCAGCAGGGAGGACAGTCTAGACCTCAGGAGGTATTTGAGAATCTGGACTAGGGACTGGACACCCATGCTACTCTGAACTCCACTGGACACAGAATCCCAGTCTTGGGACTTTTTCTTCCTCAACCTGTAATAAGACATGTTGAAGCACGTGTTCTATGGGGTCTTATCCCAATCCTAAGCTCACTTAGGAGCTAAATTAAGTCTCCTGAATAGAGCCAGTAATACTTGTAAACATACGTGTCACCCACTGACTCAGGAACCTTCAGTTTGATTCATACACGTTTTTTGATGGAATGAACCAATGGATGAATGAATAAACACCTGCAACCTCCCTTCTTGGCCCTGGAAACTGAGTAAAAACCAAAGAGCCAGGTCCCCTGCTCTCATGTCTTTTGGAGGAGACATATCATATAGTAGGCTAGCAGAGTTCACACACATGCACTCACTCTCACACTCACACACAGCATGCGGGTGTGCAGGAGGACAGCACCCCTTCACTCCACCCACTGTCTTTAGAGTTCAAAATAGGCCTTGGCCCTCACAGCTCCAGAGAATAAAAGCCAGAGCTGAGAAACAAGAAAGGCTAATTCCTAGCACTGGAGTCTCCACGGGCCCAGGCCTGGTGAATTAGGGGCTGCTTCATGAGCTTTCAAGGGTTTTCTGAGTGCATGTGCTATGCAAGGTTCTAGAAAGCTCTCCACCCACGCTTCCTCTGCCTTCTGCACTGGGATGAAAGGGCTGCCCTGCTCTTTCTGTCCATTTCTCTATACAGTTCCACCTCCTGTCGGGTCGCTAAAGGGCTTGGTTTGGGTGGCTTCTTCTGATCATTCCAATTCCTCAGCTAAGTGCTCCACACGTTGTTCCAGGGCATAAACCCTTCCCCTTTGGATTTATGTTCACAAAGAAACAAGCTCAATTTTAATGACTGGAAGAACCACTCCTGCCCTCTGTCTCAAAGCCCTCTCTCCCCTGTCTGGGCTTCCTATCCAACAAGGGGCACAGGGAAATACTTTGAAGATGAAAGTGAGCCCCGGCCAGGGTGTGTTTCTAGCCAGGTACATCCAGGGGCTGAGCTGGGAACCTCCTTAGAACCCCAACAGCCCCAGGGCCTTGTGCTCCACTGGAAACATCCCAGCTGTTTCCCCGGCATTCTTTCCCCAAAGGGCCCATTTCAGAGTGCTCAGGAGGCAAACTTCTCACAATGTTGGCCTAGATGGGGTGGGGCGGCAACCTGGCGGAGAGGCCTAACAGCACACTTCACAGCCTCCAGGGCACGGTCTATGTCCGCCCTTTCATTTGGCTGGCACAGGCAGATGCTGAGTCTACCTCAGCTGAGAACGGCTTCCCAGCCAAGGTCTCTGCATCTGGATGCACTCTTCTGCCCAAGCTCTCTGGGCTAACTCTAGCAAATCCCAGGCCTCCAGGCATGGCCAGATCCATGCCAAAGGAGCCAGGCGTTGGACCTGCCTAGCCCTGCCCAACCAAGGCTGGACTCTGCCTGAGACTCAGGCCTGCATTGCCTGGGCGGCCCCAAGGTACAGGAAGCCCCAGATCCTGCCAGCAGCTCTGTCTAGTTGATTGATTGGCCACTTAGGCCATAAATGAGTCCCATCTACTGAGGGGATGACTCAGGTTATCTCCCAAGGTTTCCAGGGGGTCCTGAGCCCTCTGGTGACCTCCATGATGTTTGTGGTTCATTGCTTTGTGTTTATCTGTTATATGTGCCACACACTCGCATGCAGGCAGAACCAGGCAGATTAGATGAGTATGCAAAACAACCAATCTCTCCTGGAGCACAGTGTCACTCAACTCTAACCAACTGTGGGCACTACAACCTTTGATTTTCCAAGAAAAGTCTTGGCCAGGCATGGTGGCTTAGGCTTGTAACACAGGGAGACCTCATCTCCACAAAAAATTTAGAAGTTAAGCAGGTGTGGTGGCACACAACTGTGGTCTAAGCTACTTGGGAGGCTGAGGCAGGAGGATCACTTGAGTCCAGGAGTTGAAGGCTGCAGTGAACTATGATCGCACCACTGCACAACTGCCTGGGTGATA